CAAAAATCGTTTTCTTGTACCTCGAAACAACTTTTCGCCATACATTTCCTTCTAGCGACTAGCAATGTTTGCCCCCTGACGATCCCAGAGTTCTTCGTGCAAACACGGGTGTCCGATTACTGGCAACTTATTCATTAGCCACCTTTATAAAACTCTCCCGAGCGGGGGTTGGGGGGGGGGGGGGACTGTGACGAAAATTAATGATGAGATCATCCCACTGTCCAAATTTGGCGAGAATCGGCTGTAACGCCATTTTTCTGTCACGCTGTTAATCGTTGGTTACAGGAGTAACCAAAATCGGGACTTCTGCCGGGAAAGAGGATAAGCTCATTTTCACTCAGTTTTCACGTTTCTGTCTTTAGAGCTAATATAATTTTCCGTATATGTGATTTTATCATAAATTGATACACATTTTTTTCAAGACAGTGATTTTTTGTTGTTGTTGTTGTTGTTGTTATTTGTGTATAGATATCAGTTTGAACAAGAAAACATTGTCCAAAATAATGTATTTTCCCGTAATGCTTTAACCTATTCTCTCAGGTCACAAATAAGTATGAAGTATTCTTTTTTTCTTTGCCATCAGCCGAAATAAGAATAATTTGCCTTGAAATAAAACCACGGGATTATGGATTTCTCCATAATGTCATTATGTAGGGGCCGGTGTTAGCTACAATCCACGACAAAAGTCCTTGGCACACCTGGATCTGATAGCACGAAAATGCGTTGGCAAGTTATTTTTAGGACAATACCCAATGACATCATTAGCATAGGGAACCCACTTCCTCCCCGACATTGTTGTAAGCGGGCAATGACGACTTCATTGCGATAAACAACATTGATTTGGGGGGAAGGGGATAAACTGATAAATTTCCCTGACAGATATTGCAAAAGTGGGAAGGTGTGTCAAGACTTTTGTCGGAGATTGTAGGTGATGCGTCAACTCTAGCTCCGACAAGTGAGGATGGTGATCACGGGTTCCCCAGTCAATCAGGTGCCTCTGAAGCCTATAGCACAAAGAAGAGACGACACCAAACTCCAGATTAAATCGCCTGTGAGACAAAGGTCTTTCGCCTTCGACTGCTTTCTCGGAGAAAAAAAACTCAATCCTGCGTTCAGTTCCTTTCGCATGTCTTCAACGATCTCTTCAAACTCTTCAACGTTCAACTTCCTCGAGGACATCACGGGAATGACTGCGCTCCTTTTATAGTCTGAGGCCAGACCCCACTTTCACTGAGCGGCAGTAATTTTCCGATCGCGCCGACCAATCATAAACCAGTTGCATCATCTCACATCACATGCAACACCTTACAAGGACATGGTCTGATTCTCATACCATTCCCCTGATTGGTGCTTGCAAAAACATATGATCGAGCAACATGTAACACTGATCATTTATTCTCAGAGTTCAACCGAAGTCATGTCTTCCTCAGCCTTCGTCAATCCCTTGCATCCGAACGCAACACCGCCCATAGATCCCGAGGACCCGCGTATCGTCCATCCAACGGGTAAATTTGGACCAGAGAGTCACCTCGACTTGGGAACTTGGTCACCCGCCAAGTATCCAAGTTTCAAAGAATCGCCCAAGCGAAAAGCCAAGAACCAAGATGACAACAGTAAAAAGAAGAAGTAAAAGTCCAACTTAAAACTGAATTTAAGAAGAACCTATCGTTTGCGCCGAATAAGAAAATTACCTTTACAGTCTCTTAATATGCAGTATTTAAAAGCGTTCTCCGGAATGACCGCTCAGGGTGGCGTTGCGTTCAGTAGATTTGCTGCTCATGCGCAACACTGCAGAATATTCTCGGAGAACTTTGGATGGTCGAATTACAAAAACATCCTGTCTTTCTTGGAATCGGACTAGACGCCCCTTATATAATAATGAAAGGTTATCAGATAACGAACGATCAGGAAATGTTTAACGCGGCCAAGCGTAATACCGACCAAAAACATCAAATACCCCAAAAATCAACAACAACATAAACGAAAGCAATTAACAAAGTATTGGTACTTTTGATAAGGTCCTTTGGAACAGAGTATATAAACTGTAAAAAATATACTTTAGCTTCAAGATTAGTTTACCTTCAGCCGCGATTCTTAGAATCAACAAGGTCAAGTCACGCGTTTCGTGTTCTACTTTTCTTAGAACGGAAGAGCAAAACAGGTAGATCATTTACTTGGTAACCGGTAACGCAATCTACTTCCTAATTTCAGGGGAAAACGTGCTTATAGCAACAGACCGAGATCTTCGCTCTGCGAATATGTTGGCACTGATCTGCTATTTAACACGAGTTATACTGTGTGAGCTCAAAATGGACAAAAACAAACGGAAAGCAACGAAAATGCAACGTGATGGGACATTTCAGGAGTTCCGAGATCTACTCAACAAAACATTAGATAAAAACCGAAATCCGCGTGCATGTAACTTAAGAAAAAGCACTGAAAACGCATATCAAGAAATGCGAGGATATGCTTCACAGCCTACAATTGCAAGACAGGTTAGTTTAAATAGAACTGAATGTATTTATAGGTTTTTTTTGGTCGAGTTCGACTGATTTATTCCTTCTTTAGGGGTGTATTGCATCCGTACTGTTTGAGAAGTAGATTTTGAAGGAGCGAGCGAGTAAGCGGAAATTTGTCAGTTATGTAACTAAACGGAACAGACAGCGGCCAGCTTCATTCTCGTGAATTTACCGCTCGCCTCCCAGTTGTTTAATGTTATATTGATATCAAGACAAAAAGAAAAAAAAGAAAAAAGAGAGCGAGAGAGGGATTTCTTGTATGTACACTCTTATTTAGAATTTACTTCTGACTGCGTTAGATTTGAGTAAGGACTAAATCACGAATGCATTGTTCCGAGGGACGCTTCCTTGCTTCTTGTTTCATTTTTACCTGTACAAACGAAACAGGCAATCATTTTAATTCCATCTCGAGTAAGATACATGCTTGCCAAATAGAAACGCATACGTAAGGGTTAGGTGGGATTTGATTAGCCGCTATAGATAACTCAAATACGAAGATACTAAGATACATTCGATTTTATATAAGGTCTGCCCTCCTTCTGTAAAAAATCTGATCTTGGTTAATAACGAGGCATTTCATCAAAAAGCACACGTAATACTGTTCAATTTTTTAGAGAAAAGACGGAAGAGCAGGAATTGCCTGAAGATGGCCAGCAACACTCAACTTTCATGGAAAGCAAGGGTGAAAACACTAAAACATCTACACTTGGCGTGTAAGCCCGTCCTGATCACCATGTACATGTATATTTCAATTTATTAATATGATAACACAATTTGTGAAATGCAGCTGGTAGTCGAATAATTATATTAATTACCGGGCATTTAAATGAGGAAGATATCAACAACGACTACCATTAGCTTTTTGTGGCGATTCGCACAATATTCATAAATACAAGATAAATGGAATCGAGCGTCTTGATGGACTGTCGTGCATAACAAACAACTGGGTAGACTACCACTGATCTATCAACTGGAGAGCAAAATGTCATGCGCTGATAACTGTGCTTCTATGCTAAAACATGATAACTGCCTATCATTTTTACCTAATTTTACTAGTACCTTATAGTAGTTGGGTGGCAATCTATCATTGCAGAAGTGAGAGGCCATCAGCGGAAGAAGTTGAAGGAAGTGAATCTGGCTCAAAGGAGATCAAGGTTGATGACAAAAAGAATGTTGAGGACAAAGTCGAAGCAGCTGATTCAAGACCTGTAAGGTACCCACTACTGGAAGATACTTAAAACTCTGAGTTTCTATGTGATTTAAGTTTTATGGTTATTCGACCTGATAGCCGGTTTGGAATAAACTTTTGTCATCAATGGTACCAAGTTTTTTCGGACAGGCTTAGCTGTAGCCTTGGATTATTCATTATTCCTGAAGCAAGCCACCTATATTTCCAGCCTTTCCTAGTACTATTGCACTATTACCAAGCTTCTATAATATTAGGAAATCTGTTTTGTGCCACAAGCGGATAAATTTTTAGCATAACCTCTACTCGAGGAAAAATACATTGTATAGATGATATATAATGCTTCCAAGGCAAAAAAAAAAAAAAAAAAAAATTCAAATGTTGTTGTTTATAGTGCTCAATGCGCTTAGCTACACCTAGCTAGTTCACAAGCATGCCACATGCAACATATTTTAGCAGTTACAAATGATGACTGCTATACACTCGGTATATATAATTTGATACACAGATATTTAGAGGAAGAACTGAGAGAGTGTAAAAGAGATCTTGAAGCAAAAGAAAGGGAAATTGAGTCACTAATGAGAAGGTAGGGGTCATTGAATCATTTCTTGAATATATTTCATTTTTAAGCCCAAATTGTACCTTAGTCCCATTTCCCAGCTTGTTATGCCCAAATCCTATTCCCATTCCTACTTTTTCAATGGTCCGGATCTCATTTTCCCAGGGAAATCCCAGTTCCAATTTTACCCCTTTAGGCCTCTCAAGCTACTACAAACACAACAAAATTGCCGATTTTGATGTCATCCTGTTGATAGTGCACTGCCTTAGCTTCGTTGTCTATGAAGAAGTGAAGATTATCCAGTTTTTTTTTTTTTTTTTTTTTGGTATTTTTTACCCAGTGTGCAGAGCTAACATCGCGCGCTTTCGTAAGGATCGAGAGACATGTTTCAGAGCCTTCCGATAGACTTAAACCTTAAAATAGTTATAGTTCACTAAAGCAAAAAAACGTCAAATAGNTTTTTTTTTTGTAATATCAAGCGCGACTAGAGGTATTTCCATTCCCCTTGGACGGAATGCTAGTCTAACAGGGTGTTACTCGTGGCATGTATTCGCCTGTAGGGACTAGAGCACCTGTGCTAAAAGAACAGTCTTGAGAAAAGGCAAAATACAACAACCTCGGCCAGGGTTCAAAACCAAATCCCTAATATCAAGCGCAACTAGAGGTATTTCCACTCCCCTTAGACGGAATGCTAGTCCATCAGGATGTTACTCGTGGCATGTATTCGTCAGTAGTCACTAGAGCACCTGTGCTTAAAGAGGTACTGTATATAGGGGTTAACTGTCTTGAGAAAAGGCAGTACACAATAACCTTGGCCAGGGCTCAAAACCAAATCCCTCAAGCCTAAGTCTAGGGCACAAGCCCTAAGGCCACCGAGCCTCTGTATTATGCACAAATTTGTTCATTCCCCTTTCCCACATGCTAAAGGTAGCTGTAGTTGTAAATGCTATCACAGTTACTGCGTCACTTTTCTTTTAAAGAGTGGCACATTACAGTGACATGCGAACCAAGCAGGATCAACGACATATTGAAGAAACCCTCAGTTTAAACAGACAGTCCAGGGTGGAACAGGAGTTTAAGGCTTTTATAAGTCATGAGCGTATTGATACCTGCATGATGATCCAAAAGGCATACGGGGAGAAAACGGATATAACTGCCAAAAGATTTACCTCTATGATGATAGAGGTTAGTGCTTTCTGTTAGTAGCGTGAGGTCTGTGAGTGGCCGTTATGGCACCCTTTAACGGGGCCAAGATTGTTCAAATAATACATCATGATCTGAGAGGAAAACTCTCGCCTCAGCCTACGTATCAGCAGGCTTTTCGAAAGGAAGGCTTGATACTCATGCTATTCTCGCTTGCATTAATAGTACATGTACAGTACATTGATGGTCCTTGTAAGAATGTCATTTTCTATTAACAGGTAGTTTACGAATATATTTTGTCCATGAAAGCAGCCATGACTGACGCCTTCAAAGAAATATCGAAATTTGTAGTGGACCAAGGTCCAAAAATCGACTATTATTGCTTTAAGCAAAAGCGACAGGTAAGAGTTTCACTCGACCACTCACTAAAATACTTATTTCTTGCATTAATTGTAGTTCTGACGTATGTAGAGCAACAAGTTTTCTGGCGAGAATAACCGTCTGCGTGATTTTATCCATTAGATTTATTTATTTCCTTAACTGGGGCGTAGCTAGAGGGAGGTTTCTGGGATGCCCGTGACCCCCACCCCGTCTTATTGTAAGCCTTTTTCTAAGCAAACAACCTACAACGGGTGGCGAAAATGATATGACAGTCTGCCGAGTACCCTATCTTTGACACAATGTGACAACGTCCTCCCCCCCTCCCCTACCTTTGGAAAATCCTGGCTACGCCCCTGCTCAATCATTCGTGACAAGATCATAATCTCTTGACCCCTCTATCATTCATTTTTTTTTATTTTTTTTTTTATCTTTCTGGTTCATTTTTGTTTAATTTGGTCAGGAGAATTTGGTATTTATCCACGTAAGACAATTTGTGTAATAGAAATAATAATTTGCAGGTCCATTGGGTCTAATCACAAGGCTTTTTGTTTGCTTTCAAGCTCCCCATTAGGCCGATGATTCGAAAGTACGGCTGCTTTGGTGCTGCATTACGTAGTTATCCTCATCATTTCTTTTCTGTAACAGAGAACCGATGAACCAACCACTATTAAAGTTCCTTTATGTTGGAGGGGATCGGAATATCCCAGGGATGTCGTAGATGGGTTGTTGCTGGCTATCAAAGAATTGGCCCCAAAGATCGACACTGATATTTTCCTTATGGTAAGTCATTAACAATATGATATTTTTTTGTATGGCTGGGTGTGTGTTTGTGTTTTTTTTTAATCCTCTGGGGCCAGGTGGGTTCTAGAGGTCGTAAACTTGTACCTTAAAAACCCGCTAACTATCTGTACAATAGGATACAGGATGTAGACGCGAATTATACTGACTTAAGATTCTTAAACGTCATTATGAGACAATTATCTGATTTTGTTTAAAAAGCCGTCTTCTACCACAGCTCCACTTGAATTACATGCAGCTGACGCCTAAAGGCAAAACCTCAATAGAGAAGTCACCAGAAAGCGATGTAAATGCAAAAAATGTAAAAAAAAAAAAAACAAATCTGCCATCTCGGGACATAATCTTCAACTTTTAATGCCGTCATTTGGAAAAATAAGTTAAATGATTACAATAGAGACATCAAAGTTTGCGACCAAGAAAGTTATTTACGCAAAGAAACTGTAGTGTTACGTCGGCGGGCAAGTTAAAGAATTTGCTATTTATCAACCTCAACTTCAAGTTGATAAATCACTACGTGAACAGAAAACACTGTCATCAAAATGGTATCAATTGGTTTTCGAATTGTGACCAGACATAGTGCTAAGAGTTGGTTTTGATACATGTCCAAATGGTACCCAAAGTCTCATCGTATTCCGGGGGTGTACAGGGCGGGGAAGGGGGGAGGGGTCCTGGCGGAGAAATTTGTGTGGGGGGGGGGGGTGCGCGGCCGCCTTACCCTATTTAAGACCAAAATCTGCTATTTTCCCTACCCTGTTTATGACTTGACCCAAAATTCGATACCTATTTATTATCAAAGCGGCTAAGCCATACCCTTTGAGGCTGCACATGCCTATATAGCCCACATAAGGGAGTACACCCCCAGGTATCATATGAACTGATAATTATATATTAAAGAATTGATTCATCCTTAGCGTGCGTATATCGAGTTATAGATGCACGCGGGAAGTTTGGAGAGCACGAAAGAAGCGTAAGAGTTGCTCGAGGCGATAGCCGAGAGCAACTCTAGCTTCTTGAGTACTCTCCAAACTTGCCATGTGCATTCATAACTCGATATACGCACAGCTAAAAGCATGAACCAGTTCTTTTATAACGTGGCGACAACAAATTGGGCGCTAAAACATGTTTTATTTGTGATTGACTACATAGTTCTCACAATGCACGGTGAAGGAAAACAAACGTCGTTAGGATCCTAACACGCCTTTAATAAGTTGAGCAACGGTTGAACGAAAACGCCTAAGCTGGTTTCTAAAATTGTCAATGAAAAATTCGCTTCTTCGAATTAATTATAATGAAAATGTAGGCAAAGGCAAAAATACTCAATGAAAAGTTAGACAAACAAAGTCAAAATACTCAGAAGTAAGTAAATATCTTAGCTTGCCGAAAAGTCAGAGGCTCGAAGTAGAGTTTGGATTGTTCAGAATAATCAGTTTGCCGAAACGTAAACAAAAGGAACCTGCACTAAACCCAACGGAAATTTTGCAGCTAAATTGAAATTGCTGGCGTCATCTTATATACGCACGGTCGTGCGTACGTAGAGATTTCGTTCATGATGGCGCAATAGGAATTAAATAGGACTAGCGCGCGCGCTATGTTATGATATATATACTGCGCTCGAGCTTGATCATGGCCATGCTCTTGAATTCTCACTACTAAACCACTAATGATGTTTATGTTTAGGACGTCAAGCATGAAATCCTCAGCATGAAATCCTCAGAGCGGTCTTGCAACCTTACTCCAACAGGGAAATTACTAGACGCCCTGGATGATTACTTGAAGGCTTGCATCAAGTTGACGTGGCGAATGGTCACTCAAGTTCTACCACTGAGGCTTGAATATCAAACCTTCACTTACAAGAGAGAGTGTCACAAAATCTTGGAATCCCAGGAAGATGCACTCGATGCCAGATGCCAGGATCAAAAGGTTTATTATCTGTGGCCTGGTCTGATGGATGGAGGAGGAAGAATCATTATTAAAGGCGAAGTTGCTCTAGAATAGTAGAATTAACTTCACACATGCATGTTGCTTAATATTCGTACACGACTTTTTAGGACTCAGAATGTAGTGAAGACTATTTATAACCATATCGGGCCGACAGGTTCAAAAGAATGCCATTATAATTGTGTTTTGGTGACATCATTTTTTTGTAGTCAATGTTAGGAACTGATTTGTACATTGCGACAGGCGAGGGCACTTGTTTCGATGTCACTTATAATCTCTTTAGCAACAATGAAAAATAATTGACCTGACATTTTAATAACAATTAAGGGTAGTTATCTTGGATGCCCATAACTATTGGAAAACACTTGAGTGATACAATACTTAATCTCTCGCTGGAGAAACTCTGGGCGCTAGTGCATTGCGCACTGCTTTTTTTCTAGTCAGGACGTCACAACATAGCTAGTTTACTGCAATAATGAGATTTAAAGAATTAAAATTTGTACATTTTGCAATTTTTAGTAAATTAGTGCAACCAGCGGTTTACAGTATATTCCTGTTTTAATAACTATTTAGACACCTTTGTTAATATTACAATATACTTTTAAAGTTGGTACGGTTTGTCTCCGAGAAATCAAGTCGAGCTATCTTGCAAGTGAAATGACTGATTTATCTCTAACCTGACATTACGGTAAAGTTTACAAGCTCGTTTTTGTAGCCAGTTGGATTCGTTTTACATAAGTGTGTCTGTTGTAAGGTATTATTGATTAAACTTAACAAATATTCCATGTTGCCGTACTTTTGTTACGTATTAGTATAAATCTAAAAGTGTTCTACACCAGCCTGTTCTCTGATTGGCGACGCTACTCGTTATCTATTTAACAAATAGATTCCATGTTGCCGTGCGTCTGTTCAGTAATAGATCACAGATGACGTCAAAATGTGGTAAGAACAAAAAGGTGGCACA